AAAAAAACCAAAAAAGAATACAAATAGTGATTCAATATTTAAGAAGTACATACTTTTTTTCCATTACACAATCACAATGACTGGTGCAACTGACGTTTTCCCGAAACGATATTCACTGCCCGAAAGGAGGGGACGTAGGAAAAAAATTTATATCGCGTTTCGGTCTCTACCAAAGTTGTTCCGCGGCGGGTTACTAGCGGGATCCCCTCTTTCCCACCGAGTTTCTCATCCCCGAGTAGAAGGTGACGACGACAAATCCAGCCGGGACGTGGCGACGCATAACCAAATCCGTCCACCTCTCCCTCCACTCCCCCATCTGCACTCAACCTCCCCCGACTGGCTGCTTCCGGCGTCTCCGCCAACGACACCCGACGTTCTAGGAGGCCGCGACTCCTCGGAAAATACGGCACACGTACTTGACGTACCTCACACCGTTCAACCATCCCACTCCTCTCATCCTTTGCGTTTCGAGAAAACCAACCCCCAGAATATCCCCCATCCGCTCGCCCCGTCGCCGCTCTGCCCTCCGCAACCAGCCAGAGAAATGGCGACACGAATGCGCCTCGGCCCCTTTCGCGAGGGCGGGAATTGCGGACTCGCGTCGGGAAGGAAATTCCGGGAGCGATAAGGATAAACCGCGACGGAGTGGAAGGTGCCGGCGGCGCGTGTATTACAAGTGACCTGGCTGGCGGAGAGAAAAATTGTCGTCGAGACTCCACGGACTATTGGATCGCCGCGGTATTTCCGAGAGAAGAATACTTGTAAGTTTCGCGAGCTGTCGACGCGCGTGTGCAACGCCTCGAGGAAATGTCTTGCAATTCTCAATTCACATCGAGCTCAAACATTGTCTATGTATGGAATAGGTACATATTTACTGTTATTGTATATATTCTCCGATAAATGAGGAGGGAGCTGTTATCATTTCACCTATTTAGTTTATATAAAGTGATTAGTCGAAATTAACTACGCGTAACAAACTACGAGTTAATAGAATTCATATATGCTCCGGGCGCCCATACACGTCATTGAAAATATACTCCCGGTAAGAGAATTGTTATCGCAACTTTTAGAATCACGAAGAAGGTACAGTAATTCTGACAAAAAAGCTCGTCTCGAACAAAAAGTCACCAAGAATCAAGAGGGGGGGTTAAGCGCGAACATGAGGTACGTAGGAACGCGCACATTCGCCGGAGGTAACGCAATTTTTCCAAAATCTCCGGCACAGCGCCACGCGCGCGCGTAGTGTTCGATTCTACGAGCAAATTAAATTTTGCGTAGCCATGGTGACCGTGTGGCGTAACGTTTTACACAACCACAGGCGTTATCGCGAACGCGTGCCCCGGTCCGGTTTCGACGCGCATGAGCATATCACGGCGCGGGGCTGTCCGCGTCGGGGTACACGCGAACGACATGTATGTGCAACGGGCATTGCGCATTTTATCGCCGCATAATGGCCTCCCAGTGGGTTCGTTACCACCTATGTAATAAAGCCATATTAAACAAGATGGCTTAACGCGTTAACTCCCCTTTCCCCTCCTCAGGCCCATCCCATTTGTCCCCTTCTCATCCCTTTCGTACGCGCCGACAACGAACGTTGCTAATTGATGTGGTACGGAAAACCGCTCGTACCCTCGCCTTCGTGTCGCTCTAGGCATTCTTAAACGCGCACCGGAATGCATTTACTTTCCAGACTTTTTCTTTTCGCACCTCTCGTCACATCAATGTTGTAAAAATAAATTTTGAAAAATGTATTCTTGCAATAAAAAAAAAAAAAATAGAACATTGAACGCAGATTATTGCTTACGTTTTATTTGAACAATGTGTATTTCGTATTTAATTTTTTAATCGTTATATGCATTTTATTCAATCTGAAAAAGAATATACAAAAACTTTTCAAATGTAAATTATGTTAAATGATAATTAACTTTCGCATAATTTCGTGACGTCAAAAATACGTAATTTATATTGCATTAACATAATTGCAATAACAATTAATTTTTAATGCGAGTTGAGGCAAACAATACAGGGTACAATTACTTTCGATATTATTACAGCAGCTATTCCGTTAGGGCCGGCTTTTGTCGAGGTATATTCCCGTGCAGTGTTAAGCGTTAAGTCATTAATTTACGCTGGCATATAATAGATTTAGACGCGTTGTGATTTCAGCCGTTTGCA